ATGAGACGCAGATTCACTCTCTGACAGCAGGTGGCGCTTATGAACAGCAATGATACAGTGTCTCCTGGGTTACCGCTGTAAACAAAGCAGAGCTGCACTTATGAACACTACTTTAATATGCATTGTTCAGAGGCAAGATGAAAAGAAAATACCAAACTTTTCTAAAGATAGTCAGTTCCCCTTAGAGATACATTCATATAAACTCCAACTCCAATTGTATCGCGATTTGTTTGGCATCTCAACCAATTTGAATAGTCACATATCTGAATCGATTTTCGACTGGCTTGCAGTTAATCGTCACATCCCTACTCATCACATAACAGCACAGGAGACTTGCCTTAATTTTAAGTAAGGATTGGTTTTAGTAAACGGCTAACCTAACAACACAATATTCTGGTTAGCATAAAAATATTTTCATCATATTGCATTCTGGGATTGCATTATCTGCAACCTAAATTTTTGGCTTTGCACTTTAGAAAAGAGAGGCATTACGTTGCATGACTTTCATAACAGCCTTTGCAATGTACACACACCTATGACACCTTAAAATGTGGTCTATGTAGGCAGCTCATTAGGCTTTAGAACAGAGCTCATAAGAACATTCGAGGAACATACACATGCTGTCGGAACTGACAGAGTCTTACTTTACCACTCTTGAGTGAAGATTACTCCAGAAGAAACCTTTAAACTATGAAAACGAGTTGATCACACATAGAAAAGAAAGTAGGCTTACAGAGGAGATCCACAGACTGAAAGATATGGAAGACAGACAGACAACAGAAAGGGAGAATAAAAGGGAAGGAAAGAATAATGGAAGAAAGATGGTAAAAGTTAATATTTTCATCATATTGCATTCTGGGATTGCATTATCTGCAAACTAAATTTTTGGCTTTGCACTTTAGAAAAGAGGCATTACGTTGCATGACTTTCATAACAGCCTTTGCGATGTACACACACCTATGACACCTTAAAATGTGGTCTAGGTAGGCAGCTCACTAGGCTTTAGAACGGAGCTCATAAGAACATTCGAGGAACATACACATGCTGTCCAACTGACAGAGTCTTACTTTACCACTCTTGAGTGAAGATTACTCCAGAAGAAACCTTTAAACTATGAAAACGAGTTGATCACACATAGAAAAGAAAGTAGGCTTACAGAGGAGATCCACAGACTGAAAGATATGGAAGACAGACAGACAACAGAAAGGGAGAATAAAAGGGAAGGAAAGAATAATGGAAGAAAGATGGTAAAAGTTAAAAAGAAAATAAGTACCCCAAGGTTGTACATATCAAGGTTGTGGCTATTGCGGTTGGGCACCAGCATGCTTGGGGCACTTTTGTTGGCTCCGTTTGAGGGTGCAGCAAGAGCGCTGGATTGCATCTGCTGGGCCGTGGGACTCTGTCTGCTAGTCTGGTGCATGGGATACGGAGGTGGTGGTGGCTGCCAGCCACTGCTATTAATGCCCACATACTCACTTTGTATGTTGCCATTCTGAGGCCAGGATGGAGGGAAGGTGAACTTGTTGCCCCCGGAGTTTTGCATGATGATGGGTTGCCGACCCACTGGCACTGGACTGATCCCTCGCTGTGCCTGAGACGGAGGGTTTATATAGCCATCGGGTCGGGGCCCCTGAGGCACAGGAGAGATCCGAGGCACCAGGTAATCCATGTTCCCAGAATACCGCTTGGTTGCGGGATTGGAGTCCCATGAGGAGGGAGGAGGAGTGATGCTACGCACCTGCCGTGGGAGGGGAGGGTTCACTCGTTGACTGCTAGCTCCAGCAGCAAGATTTTGAGGAAAGGTAGTAGGCCGTGAGAGGTCGCTTTGAGGTCCAGGGCTACTGGGACAGTAAATCATGCCATCAGTCATTAGAGCACTGTGCCGCTGTGGGGCCAGAGATTCCTTTGAACCCTTCCAGCTTTGGCGCCGCAACAGTGTCTGTGGGATTTGGGATGGACCTAGAGAGGAAACATCCATATATCAACAACAGAAACCTAAGCAGAATTTTCGAAGTCCTGTAAATAATCCTGTTTATTTAGATTTTAGGTGAACTATCCCTCTAAGGAAAAAAAATACAAATCAGCTAAAGCTTTACAGGGAACCCAGTTGGTACATTACTATAATATTAAAGGTTAAAATTAAGAAGTGCAAACAATTAAATTCAATTGCTATTTCTTTGTAGATAAAATATTCAACACTCAGTTTTATACAAATAGGCAGTATTTATATTTAATGATATTATTATGTTTCATTTAAAATGTGGCTGTCATATAATAGTTTATGACGTCTGTTTAAACATACATTAAATAAGACATTAGAAACAGGTTAAGTAAAATATAATGAATCTGTAATACAAAGCATATTTAACCAAATGCTCGTCTCTAGAGTTTTTTTGTTGTTTTTTTTTGTAGCCAAGTAACAAAATACGGACACTGAATGGCTTTTGTGAGATAAATACCTTCAAGCTCATTTTTTTGTTTCATAAAATTACTATGCATCATAGTGCTCTTTTCATGAACTATCTGCTGATGTTAATGCCGATGTAATGGTGTTAGTTCTGAGTTTACGATAACACTGTATTCTCTTCTTCAGAGGTGCTCAGTCCCCCTCCTGGAACTCTACCATAGCTAATCAACAGCTATGTCCAGAATAGCATTTAATATGCACATTTTTAGCATGCCTGGAATACCTAGATAAACTACTAAAGTTGACAGCGCACTGAGTACTTTATTGTACAATGCAATGCACTCAATCATTCATTACCAGTGTGATGCATGAACCAGAAGGACAACCAGTCATGATCTTTTTCCTTTTTGATCAGACTGCCATAAGTTTTAGATAAAACAGTTTTAATAAAACATTAGATCATTGGCAAAAGAAAGAAAAAATGTATTGTTCTGAAGACAAATAAGATTTGTACACATCCACACACACCTTCAGATCTAATATGGATTCAATATTTCTAGCCATAAGGCATGCAAAAAACAAACAAACAACAACAACTCTCAGTTGTCTAAATGACTAATCAAGTAGCAAGTGTTAAGGACATTAATATTTCAACCAAGAAGCCATGCAAAAAAAAACAACAACTCTGGGTTGTTTAAATAACTAATCCAAGTAGCCAGATGTTAAGGACGTCTCAGTGTAATTAGGCTGGATTAGACAACAACCAGACTACAAAACTATTACAGTTTGACCCCCATAATGTCTTTTTGCTACCCTAAACAATTCCAGCAATTCATAACTAAATGTGACCCTGGAGCACAAAACCAGTCTTAAGTCGCTGGGGTATATTTGTAGCAATAGCCAAAAATACATTGTATGGGTCAAAATTATTGTGATTTTTATGCCAAAAATCATTAGGATAGTAAGTAAAGATCATGTTCCATGAAAATATTTTGTAAATGTCCTACTGTAAATATATCAAAACTTAATTAATTAGTAATATGCATTGCTAAGAACATCATTTGGACAACTTTAAAGGCGAAGGGGCTCTGCTACATACCTGCTTGTTTTATGGCCGTGTTGACAGGGCGTGCTGTTATCTGCTCCCTCGCAGGCTCCTGGAAGTTCATCCTACTGATGTACTCTATGGCTGCCTCCACGCTATGACTGTTCGTCTGCTTCAGAGCACGAACCACCATCTCCTGTACAAACGCACACACGTATGTATTACTACTGAGAATCAATAAAATATGTTGGCATTTAAATGCAAACAGTTAAAAACCTGCACAACAGCTGCTAATAGAGATATCCATAAGCTCACGAAAATTTTATTTGCATTTGTGCGATACGGTTTTATTATGTCATGGCTCTCTGGAAATCTTGCCAGTGATTGGTCAATGGCATTCTGTGGTCTATGATATTTGTGCATTATGCACACTGCATAATTGACGGCTGTCCCAGGCAAATGATTTCCTACAGTACATAGCTGCACTAGTTTCATGTCACCTCGTATCACTGCACACGCTCTTGTCACAAAACAACATAATCTGCAAATCAATATCGTATGTCCTTCCACTTTTAGTTATTTGGCAAGCAACTATGTACAAATTGGGATAATGTACAGACAGTTGTTTCACATTGATCACCCTGTCTGGATTTCTGACTATACGTTATCCTTTACAGAAGTATTATTTTCTAGTACAGTCATTTATATAATAAAATGAAATGAACCTGTAAGGTTAAAATAATGTTTGGCCTGTTTGTCTGCCAAACAACCTTTATGTACATACACCACATGAAAAAAAAAAAAAAAGTAATTAATCTTATCGGAAAATAAATAATAAACTAAATATGTACATCACACCCACATTGTTAGTGTGCATTTGAGTATGACACGTTGAGCTCACTTCTCCAACCAGAGCTGGTCTGGCAACATACCATTTCTGTCATTCCTCAAATAAGCGAAATTATACAGTGACAGTAGAGAACATTCCTGAAATGATTAATATGATACATTTGGGGGGGGGGAGTATACCAACTTCTCATCTCAGTATTTTCAGCTCCAACCAGATTCAACAAGGTCCATTACCTCATCAAAGCCAGCATCCTGCAGCTCTTGCAGCATGTGTCTGTTGATATCTGCGCTGTTTCCACTGGAGGTAGTTTCATTAGCAAATGGCATGAGTGACCTGCGGATCTCCTGCAGTGCTCTGTGATGATGGGGGTTCCTGGGGTTGTTGCTGCGCCCTTGTTGTCTGGGATCATCCGGCGGTCCCTTCCCGACGCTCACGTCGGTTTTGGGAACATCTGATGACCGGGAGAGGTTCCGCAAGCTCTCTCGGATCTCCTGCAGCATTTGTTGACTATTGCCACTGTAGTTGCTCACAGGGAAGGTGTTGGGTCGCATTTGTCTGTATCCCTCGGGTTTCTCGCCCCTCTTCATGTAAAAACATATGTTAAGTGCCAAGGTGGTGAAGAGTCTCCTGGGTGGAAGAGTGAAACTGTCTGGATTTCAATGTTTCACCTGCACACTAGAGAGACGTCAGTGCATCAGTAAACATGCATGAGGGAACAGAAGAATTGTTATAATCATCAATACAACTTCAGTTGCATGATTAAAGCTTGTAACAGCTACATGGTGATCCTCAAAAAATAATAATAATGAAGGACTATGCTTTTTTTAACGTGTTTCTTCATTAGATTTGACTATGTTTTTAACTTTTTAGTGATATTGATAGTTCAAGGACATAAAACAGCATTTGGTTTTGTGGTAGGTCTAGATATGCCTTTCTAAAGCTCACTAGACCACAAATATTTAAGACTAAATGAAAAGCCCATCGACACCAGCTACGGCAGTGATAAATACGTTATATTAATTTAGTTATGCCTACCTAGACAGGATCACAGGGCACGGCCAAAAACGCTGCATGTGCCTACGATGACCAAAAGTGTTGTCTAGGTAGGCATCTCTATAGGTTTTGAAACACAGTCGTAGTGTCCAATTGATTCACGCACAGCTAACTCAGTTAGGCCTGAAACTGCTGAAGAGTGCAGAAGTATTGCCACATAAAGCCCTTACAACTTTAAACATTATTCATACTGCATAATACCATATTAAAGCTGATAAATCATTTATGAATCGGTACAACAGGTGACTGAGGCCTAAAGCTGAGGGGATAGCATAGTGCTACCATACTCCGTATAAAAACGAATTACATTCACTTACCATTTAATGTTGGTGAGGCGTCGTGTTTGGACATGTATAGCCCCCTGCAAGCTTTTAAACCGCGAACACCTCCTCTGCTATGTCTGACAGATACATTGCTGACGGACCGTCTGCTTCTCTTTGGTATTTACTGTCGTCTTGAGTTTACATTTACAACGGCTGTCATGCGCGTCACAAAAGCCCGGATGTTGTAAAACGCCCTCTTCGAGAGCTCCGCCCCCAGAGGTGACCTGACGAGACGAGAGGCCCTTCTGTGTGAATGCAGATCAGTGGAAGAGATGCGTCAACTGCTTTTGAGTGGACACAGTTTGTTACATAATAAATGTACCTCTTAACCGTGGTTCGTGTTCGACATGTTTGCATAACATATTCATTTTAGAGTAAGCTATATTTGGAGTTCACTACGAAAAATAGATATTCTAAATGATAAAAATTTTTTGCAACAGGTGGGAATGAATTTATGCTGCTATGTGTGAGTCTCAGAGCCCCTCATCTATGGTCTGTCCTCATCCTAATGGTAGTATGTTTATTCTCAGTAAACAGTGCCATTTCTGACTGCGTGTGTGGTCCTCTTATACATTATGGGGACCAAATGTCCTCACAATGATAGTAATACCAGTAAAATACCAGGTCCCCATGAGGAAACAAGCTTATAAATCATACAGAATGACATTTTTTGATAATCTAAAAATGCATAAAGTTTTGTGTGAGGTGCAGAGTTATGGTAAGGGGATATAAAATACAGTTTGTACAGTATAAAAACCATTACCCCTATGGAATGTCCCCATAAAACATGGAAACCCAAAGCGTGTGTGTGTGCGCATGTTTATGTGATTTATGAGGACACAAATTTGTATAATGACATGGGTATTACAATGTGAAGGTGGTTTATGAGGACACTTCCTGTGTCCCCAAAATTCAAAAGGCTTAAAAAACATACTAAATGGTGTTTTTTTTTCTTTCTAAAAATGCGTAAAGTTTTATGTGAGGGGTAGGTTTAGGTGTAGGGTTGATGTAGGTAAAGTTTGTACAGTATAAAAACCATTACGCCTATGGAGATTCCCCGTAAACCATAAAAACCAACATGTGTGTGTGTGTGTGTGTGTTTATTTTGTCACTTCAATTCAAAAGGTTATCAAATTTAAATACTTTAAATACTATTTTCATATTATTCATATTATTGCTCAGTAAATATGGGATTTTTAATAGCCTATTCAAGATTTTTTAAAGGTTCCTAAATATGTAGTCACAACATTGTAATGTAGCACTACTCGTTCATCAATAACATTGTGGTAATTTTTGGTGTTCCTATGGTGTTTCTAATATAACAGCTGTGGGAGTGACTGTAAATTTGACATAATTTTCTCTTCTGACTGCTGTTATCAATCTCTCTCTATTTTTCCTCTTTTTGAAATTCGTGAAACACTATTGTGGAGTTTTTCTATTGCTATTTGAGCAAAGGGGAACACAAAAAAATATATATTTGATGTAGTCTCCTGTTCACTATTATAGTTTACCCAACTATGACATCTTCCGCTTCTGAGAAACCCAGAAATATGAAAAACGGTCCGTTAGAAGACTAAGCACAGTGTTCCCCTCAGTTAAGGTGTTTACATGAAGGTTTTTCAGTCCGATTGAGCCGTCAATCCGATTACAAACGGATTATTTGGTTGCATGTAAACGTAGCCACTGTGTTTATGTGCGAGTGGTGTGTGTGTGTGCATCAATTAAAGCAGCGCATTAATATAGAACGGTGATTAAACTGACTTGGAACTACCTGTGCATTAAACGGTTTTAATGCATACCTGCCAGCCAATCAGAATCCAGTATTCAGACAGACCATGGAATAATAGCAACATAATAACCTCCCGCTCATCCGGGTATGTGACGGCAATGCTACTTTCATGTCTCATATCTCCACATACCCACTGTTGTTTCGTTCATAAGCAGTTCCTGCCATATTGCTTCTCTTTTTAGCCGCTTGCTAGGAACGTTTGAGTCCTGATCATCCAGTCAGGGTTTATTTTGTGATAAACCAGGATGTACATTATCCCCTAAATAGTCAACATTTTTATAGACCTTGGCTGTTTACATTCAGCATATGTAATCAATCAATCAAGATTTGCTATGTAGTATATAATGCTTTATGTGAGTATATTGTATGTACAGTATGTGAGTAAAGTTGGCTCTACTTTTATAGCGACAATTTGGAGTTAAATCATTTTGGGGTTTTGCTCAATTCATCATAATTTGATTTAGTGGCAAGCCTAATTACTTGTAGCTGATGTGTATCACTACAAATTAAATGACTCCTTAAGAGAGAACATAATAATTGTGACCAGGACTCCTTGCTGCAGGGAGTGGAGCTTCCCCGGCAGGTCAGTTTGGCAAAGAAATCACTGCCAAAGGCTAGAAAGCTCCCATCTGCATCTGTGGAACATGAACACCCTTTCAATGAGTTCCAGGAGCCTGATTTGAAATTGGGAAGGTGAGGCAGTAATTTGCCAACGTAAATGTGTATGAACTGGGGCTGCGATGTCTTCCACTGCACACACAGACACTGGGGTACCGTTGGTCGTCCTGTCCACCTGGCATCATCCATCAGCTCCACCACTGCTGTCTCAGAAGCCACCAAAGATGCGTCACACAAAAGAAGGTTACCACTATCAGTGCAAATCATGTGGTCAGTCAAAGAGCTAACTGGCCATACAGGGGTTAAGAGTAAATAAAAAAGATCTCAATATTTACTCACTCTCATGCCGTTCCAGATGTATAAGATTCTTTTTTCAGATGAAAGATTTTTAATCCATCATTGTGGGTCCATATAATGCAAGTGGGTCCCTCAAAAATTGATGCTTCAAAAACCACAAAAGTGAAACCATAGGTGTGTGAGAAAAACATCAATTTTTAAACTATAAACCATCGCTTTTGGCCAACTGTCATATGTTCATGAGCTCACGCTTAACATAAATGTCAGCATGTTTTGAAGCGTGATCTGTGATTCTGTCACTGTGTTACACAACATGCTTATATCACGCTTTATGTCAGCAGCAGTGATGGCTTTTTATGGTTAATTTGTATTTTTCTCGCATACATTGTTTCACTTCCGATGATGTTGATATATCACATTGCAAAAGGTGGTCAAATTTAGTCTCTTGTAAACTTTACTCTGGTAAACTCTTTACAGTTTTTACGAATGGGTCACTGAATTATTGACTCAACTGATTCATTTGTTCAACCATCGTAGCTACGCGAAGCCTATGCAAGTAAATATTGGCTTTGACAAAACACCACTTATAGGTCAATTATCTCTGAAAGAAGTATGATAAGTTTTTATTATGGTCCCCGTCACTGTATCCCGAGTACTTCAACAAAACTTATATCACACAGAAAGGCTGTACACATGGCCATTTTAATGACTTGATCATTTCTTGTGTAATTTCAACCAACTGGACAAAGACGTTTAGTTTATAAAAATATTCCAAGCCTTCTCTTTCATACATGTTTGGGGTCAGTAATCAAACAGGAACTTGTCTGTGGACGTACACGGCCTCTCCATCAGTCCCACACACTAAACACTGCTCAAGCACATCGAGGCTGTTGACAGACAGTGTCTGGCTGGGCAGCATATGAGTTGCCTCCAGTCTATTTTTGCTGGAGTCCCCAGCAAGCCAGGCGCTGACCACAGAGTCATTCTCCCCTGCCATCGGTATGGCACTATGCGAGACGACCCTGCTGTTCCAGCCCTCTGAAACAAACCAGGTATCAGAAAATTAGATGAACATACAATAATATGAGTCAAGTCTGTGTATACTGACTACAAATTAAGAATGAAACCTTCATAGTCATAGTAGCTTTACTAGGCCATATGCTCAGACCAACCAGTTTAGCTTTGCTTCTTATGCAACATAAGAGGAATTCAAATTGTTATACAATTGCAGGATTGCATCATAGAAAGTTCATTATATGGATGTGTGAAATATGAGAAAACAACAACAACAAAAGGAACAAAACTTGATGAAGCGGCAGCTTTATATATCTAGGGTGATAGGTGTCAGTATAATCTAAACCCACTGGTACTACTGGGATAAGAGCCAGAAAAATATGAACAAAAACTTGAGTGCACCTTTAGAAAACAAAAACTTGGCTCGACAAAACCTTAAAAAAAAAAAATAATAATAATGTTTGAAGTCTGACAGCATGGCCCTGTTTCCACTCATTCATGTATTAAGATGCAAGTAGTTAGCCGAGCATCTCAAATGCATCTCCTTCGATCACTTGTGATGAGATTTCACCAAGAAAAATTAGAAAGGAGGCAAATGAAAATGGATAAAGAGGGCAGCAGAAATTTTTTCTTACTGTACTATAAATCCTGGCTTTGGTTTAAGACACATAGGCCACGTGCACACTGTAAAGTTTCATGAGTGACAACTGCATTTAAATACGGGAGTGAATCCCCTAAATTATAGTTTTGTGTGTGTACGAAACAGAACTCACTCTCAAAATTGTGATGACTGTGAAACCTGTTATTTTTGCAGATTTTGACTAAACCGCCGTCAACAGAGTGGTCGTGTTTCATTTATGTTTGGAAGATTACGTGCAGAACTGCGGAAGTTTGTCCATTATTATAAGCGACGCTTATTACGTCTCTTGGGGCTCATAAAGCGATGCAGTTTATGCAGTTAATGGCAGGTGCAGGTCACAATATTTTGGTTTGTGGCTTATTTTCAAGATAACACACGCTGGGATTTATATTTATTATGGGCTTATTCTTATTTGCAATTTCTTTATAGCAAGATCCGGCAACAAAAAAAAAGTCAAAACATACAGTGCTGCTTGAAAGTTTGTGAACCCTTTACAATTTTCTATATTTCTGCATAAATATGACCCAATTCATCATCAGATGTCCTGAAAGTAGACAAAGAGAACCCAATCAAACAAATTAGATAAAAAATATTTTCTTTGTCATTTATTTACTGAGATAAATGACCCAGTGTTACATTTCTGTGTGGTGCAAAAGTATGTGAACCTCTATGATTAGCTGTTAATTTGAGGGTGAAATTAGAGTCCATCTGTTTTCAAACAGTGGAATGACTATCAGGTGTCATTGCCTGCCCTGTTTTATTTAGAGAACAAGGATCTATGAAAGTCTGATCATGTCTGCTGAAGTGAATCATGGCACGAACAAAGGAGATCTCTGAGGACCTCAGAAAAAGAGTTGTGGTTGCTCATCAGGATAGAAAAGGTTACAAAACCATCTCTAAAGAGTTTGGACTCCACAAATCCACAGTCAGACAGATTGTGTAGAAATGGAGGAGATTCAAGACCACTGTTACCCTCCCAAGAAGCGGTCGCCCAACAAAGATCACTCCAAAAGCAAGACGTGTAATAGTCTGCGAGGTTGCAAAGGAACCCGGGGTAACTTCTAAGCAACTAAAGGCCTTTCTCACATTGGCTAATGTTCAGGTTCATGAGTCCACCATCAGGAGAACACTGAGCAACCATGGTGTCCATGGCAGAGTCGCAAGAAGAAAGCCACTGCTCTCCAAAAAGAAAATCGCTGCCCGTCTGCAGCTTGCTAAAGATCATGTGGACAAGCTGGAGGACTATTGGAGAAATGTTTTGTGGATGGATGAGACCAAAATATAATTTTTTGGTTTATATGAGAAGTGTTCTGTTTGGAGAAAAGAACACACTGCATTCCAGCATAAGAACCTCATCCCATCTGTGAAACATGGTGGTGGTAGTATCATGGTTTGGGCCTGTTTTGCTGCATCTGGTCCAGGATGGAATAAATAGTGAATAAACATTTTCTAACAAAAAGTGCAAAGTAACAAGTAGAAAAAAAGAAAAATGCACAAAGAACTTGTATGGAGATTTTTCCATCTACAGATTTTTCCCTGATCTTCTTTTCTCTGTAAATTAAGGGTGCACACTATTGCTGAAAAACTCAATCACTACTTAGCAGTCAGATGTCTGTATGCACAAAGCGTCAGATCCCTAAACAAGGCCATATCTGCAGATGAAACTTTGTTTGTAGAAGCATTTTTTAAATGTGAACTAGCACCTCATGACTACACCACGTTATGTACGAGAAGCTGCAAAAGACACAGGCGCAAGTGGAATGTACAAAACATGGTGACATTAATTTTTAAGTAAATATAATGGGCGATATATTGCGTCACCAAAAATGATTGAGGTCATATACGACAGGCCTACATGCATCAAGACAATGACCCCAAGCACACAAGTCATTTTACCAAAGGATGGTTAAAGAAGAACAAAGTTAATGTTTTGAATGGCCAAGTCAGAGTCTGGACCTTAATTCAATTGAAATGTTGTGGAAGGAGCTGAAGCAAGCAGTTCATAGGAGGAAACCCACCAACATCACATAGTTTAAGTGGTTCTGTACTGAGGAATGAGCTAAAACTAACACAAGATGTTGTACTGTGTACTGCTGCAAAATTGGATCACACCAGATACTGAAATCAAAGATTCACATACTTTTGCACCGCACAGAAATGTAACACTGGGGCATTTTACTCAAATAAATGTTTGTCTCATTTGTTTGATTGAGTTCTCTTTGTCTACTTTCAGGACTTGATGATGAATTGGGTCATATTTATGCAGAAATATAAAAAATTGTAAAGGGTTCACAAACTTTCAAGCAGCACTGTACCTTGTTCACTATGACTTCTTGCACCGGACATTCAGAGGAGAGACACAACTCTGATATGCATTTAAATACGTCATTACAAACTAATTTTTTTAGTTTAGTTCCATAGACACCATGTAAAATTTTGGTAAATGCGGTTGTCACTACCAGAATTTTGTGGGAGAATTTTTCAGTAGTACAATGCAGTTGTCACTCCCATAAATTATTGAACTGTGTGTGTGCAAAACATGACTGAACAGTAAAATGCCAATTGACAACCAAATCTAGCTGCAGTGTGTACATGGCATATATAAGACATGACTCGGCCAGGTGTACATGGATCTGGTTGTTATATATGGTAATCTAATTGATCTACATCAGCATGTGGAAATTTGTCACACGTGAGCAAACAATCATGGATGAGATGTGGATGTAGCAATTTGTTTAAAAATTCATATATGGGAATCATTTTTTTCTGTTTTGTTTTGCAGAGACACATTTACATGGTCAAGTGTAACTGTAATGTGCATACCAACCAAAATATTTAAGATAAAAATCAGATAGCCACATTGTTATTAATATTACTACAGTTGTGATGGAGTTTTGGCTTACTCTGTAGGAGTGTGCTCATGTCTGATCCTGAAGTCGTCTCCCAGTGTAGCAGAGAACCATCCTCTGAACACGTAAACAAGTGATTGGGGTTTGATGGATGAAAATGTACTTCCCACACTGTAGAGAAACAGATCAGAATCAGTGCTGCTGACCACTTATCAGGTTTTTGACATTTAAGCTTTAACACTGTAAAATATTGACATTTCACATGAACAGGATAACAGTTTATTTTCTGTCCTTGTTAATAATATCAGTTGCTTGCAAATTTAAACTGGACAATACTAAACTAATAAATAAGGTTATTTCTACTGTATATCTTGTGCAATATCTCTTAAGCAACCAGGTAACTTTCTGGCGACTGCGTTAGTAATCAAAAATGTTTAAAGTTGTGATGACACGGAAGCAGCGACAGATATTTTCTTTCATATTGTGACGTACATCCAAATGAAACAGATTATCGAAAAAGAAAATTGCAGGGCGGGGACTTGGTTCTATGCATCAGTTGTTGATTGGATTTTGAGATGCGGGTGTCTTATTCACTGGAAGGTCCAGTTATGACTGGTTAAACATTGCGAGGTCAAAACACTAAACAAAACAAAAAAAAGAAAGAAAAAGAAATGCATGCACGGATGAATTGCCGTCATGCCGACTTTCAGTTTAAGAGCATCATTCTGAATGTCTATTACAAGTGTTTACAAAACTCACTTTCCGCTGAATGGGCCTCTATGAGAGAGAAGGGTGTATTGCCCTGTCTCACATCCCAGATACACAGCATCCCATCCTGTCCTCCAGTGGCCACTATGTGCTGCTGGTTTGGGTGTTTATCCACACAGTGCAAGGGCACTCTGTCCCCAGTGCTGCATGAGCAGTAAAAAGATATGAGCAAAGAAAAGAAACCAACTTTTCGACGTCCTCTCTAGAATGCTGGCAAATAAGCTTGGGTAGAAATAGTTACTTATTTTTAATTGCCATTTCATCATCTAAGACTTCATGGCAAAAAATGAGCTACAATAATAGAAGAGTTGCATAAACACAAAATAAAAACCAAGCAAACAGAAAAATACAGCAGTTAAAATTATACAAGATTTTTTAAATTAACATAAAAAAAATTATAAAATCTAAATATCATCTTAAGATGTTAAAACATTGACAGGGAAAAATCTGTCAATGTTGTGTTTATTGGAACAAGTAATCAGCAATTTGTTAAAGTGGTCATTGAGAATTGTAATGAGAATTTGGAAAATAATAATGTCACAATGGTCCAAGAAAATAGTATTTTCTTCATGCAAAATATGATTTCTTGATAGGGTAAAATGGACTTGTTCTTATTGGTTTTATGGCGATTCAAATGAATACAGTTTTTCTTCATAGAATAATACTAATGTGACTAATGTGAGTGAATCATACAGAGAGAGAATTTGTGCAGGACTGTCACTCTGCTGTCTGAAGTCCCACATCTTCAGCTGACCGATGGAGTTAACAGTGAGAACTTCAGTCGTCCTTAGAAAAGTCACGGCATGAATCGTACTGCTATCTGCATTTTCTGTTGAAAGGCAATAACACAGTCCTGTCAGACCTACTCATATGCATTACAGGTCAAATGTAAGCATAAGTTAACCCAAAAATGAACGTTCTGTCTTGATTTACCCTCATATCCAAAGACTAGTGATCGACCGATATTGATATTTTATAACCGATACCAATTATTTGCATGTTTATGTGCCCGATAACCGATATGCAGAACCGATATTTATTTACTGTTATAAAGTAAATAAATGACTGAGTGAAGTAGGAACATACTTCACTTTGGTTTTTCCTCTTTTCAGTCATCTTTTTTTTTTGTGTGTTGAAAATTAGCAGTCTTTCATGTTAAATTTAATCTTAGACTAATGATGAGCAAATATACAACAGAGAGAGAATTAAATTCAGCGCTTTTATTTCCAACATGCGCTCATTCATGGCTGCATATTATTTAATTCAGGCAAAGTTACGTCTTTATTGGGACAGGACTTGACGGATTATCTACGTGACTCCGTGAGTTGGTCTCTATTTCTTAGAGCCAAGCTGCATAAACTACATATCAGGCATTTATATAATGCATCTAATTTGTGCATAAATGGCTGTTATGTTAAATAAAGTTTACTAACTATAGCAACTATATCAAGTACCTGCACGCCGTTGTTGCGGTCTCGTCTCCCCTCAGACGCGCTGCAATGGCGATCCTGCGCGCAATTCTCAAAACGCCCACAAGATGGCGGCGTTTATCGGTGAATCCGATATTACAAAAAATGCTTAAATATCGGGAAAATATCGGTAAATCAATATATCGGTCGATCTCTACCGAAGACTTACTTTTTTTGAGTGAAACAAAAATTAAAGGAGACATCGGATGAAATTAATGAAACCGTTTATATATAAAATCTTTGTCAGTGCTACAAAGAAAGCCAGAAAACACTTACCAATAACACGGACAACTTCAGTCTGATCTGCCTTGTAAAGAGTAACCCGGCCGTCCTCACCCACTGACACTAGTTCAGGGCTTCTGCACACTACTGCAGTGCAGGGTGCATTATCACAAGGATATCGATGAGCCCTCTCCCACACATGAGCCAACGAAAGAGCCTGAACGCCACAATCACAATGGTCAGACTTTGCTGTGCATAATGAAATTTATCAGACTGATGCAAATATCAAACAAACAAAACAGATACCTGACAGTCAGGCTGAAGCTTAAAGATCGTCACAGCTCCGCTTGATGATGCAGAAACGAGTCGGTCTTGATCTAGAAACTACAGAGATTATGCAAAGGACGGTTTTATTTGAATCAGACTAGTCCACAAATTAAAGAAAGACCTCAGACCGCTTTTCTGACTACAAATGACGAAATGCATCGCATGCTGCATTTAAAAGATGGTTTGAAACTGTTATGAAGAGGTTTAGGCCTAAATTTTGGATTTAGATCTAGATTTACATGTGATAATAAAGATATATGACTGAAGCTAAAAGAATGAGCAGAACATAAAAGCTATTCAGTACCATTTATTAATACTCAAGCGATGATATTATTAGTTTAGCAACTACTATTTGAGATACAGTGGGTAAATCCCTGCAGAAAAAACACCTGCGCTAAAACCAGCCTAAGCTGGTTGGCTGGTCTTAGCTGGTTTAAGCTGGAAGTAGCTGGTCTCTGAGCCTGACCAGTTAAAGAAGTGGCAAAAACCCCTCTAAAACCAACCAGCTTAGACTGTAGTGATGGGAAGGTCGGATCATTTTACCGACTCGGACCTTTGAGTCTCGTTCAGCAAAATGAACGAATCGTTCAAGAACGACCCAACACTATTAGACTGGTTTTAGCTGCTTTTTTCAGCAGGGATATTTTCCAAACAAACATGCAGGCCGTAACAGTTGCAACAGTGACTCCTTTTATTATTGTTTTTCTCCCAATACAAATATTTCACATATTATTTAAAAGTAATTTTCTGTATAACAAAATGGATTTTTTTTTTTAAATGTAGTGAATGGTACAGCTGCCTCAAATCTCAACAAACTAGCGCTGATTTCTCATTATTACACGTACTTTCACACAAAAGGGAAATGCATACAGTAAAACGAGTGAGCAGGTGTGTTGACAGGTTGACACCAGACTGTATAAAAACATGGACGTAGTGTCCGTGACGTCACCCGTAGACTTCCGACGAGCGTTTTGCTCACCTGTAGGTCCATCACATCCCCGTCATGCTGAGAGTCGCACAGTAACTGAGGCTCTTCATCAAACTCTCCGTCTGTGTTAGAGACTCCATGATCTCCCACCGACCAGATCGACACTTTGTTATTCTGCAAACACACAATGAATTATGAGCAACAACGAAACATGAATGCGACATGCACTGTTGTAATTCATCTGAACTAGCGCTCCTGCCTCGTTGTCCCAGGATCCTGTGGCGAACACTTCAGGCTGCTGTAATAAAGCAGGAGAAATAGGCCGCCACCGCGTCTTACTGATTTTCTGCGAGATGTATTTGGCTATCGGGTCCATCGGGTCTCACTGTTGTCGTGTTGTGTTGTTGTTTAGTTCGGTGTGCTTCACATGCAGCAATGTATCCCGCCACCTCCGCCTGCCGTGTTGTTCGCTGAGTACGGCGGCCTGTAAGGACCAAACGCGATTCGGTTTGATAAAATTGTCACGCTGCTGTGTTCACGTTTATTTAGATTCAAAGCAGCGTCACAGAAAATGTCATTTCTAACTTCCCTAGTTGTCTCAGATTTGCACGGTGCATTAATAATGTAATTTTTAAAATGAACATTATTATTATTATACTATTACCTTTTATTAAGTAAACCTCAACAAAGCAAAGGAAAAATATTTATTTTATTTTATTTTGTATTAATGCCATAAATCAGAACAGTACAATGAGAAATATTCAGATATAAATAAGAAAAACAGAAAAAGATAAACAACATTGATAAAACGGTGCCAGAAGAGAGACATATATATATATATATATATATATAAAAACCTCACTTCATACAATAGCATACCTCCTTATAATATTATGAGTTCTAATAGCCTTTTACTTGTGCAGTTACACAGGACATTACAATAAAGCTTGACATCGTTTATAAAATAAGAAAAGTTTGGTTTGGAGCCTGACCATTTCATTTTATGAATGTGAAACTTTCCCATTAAAATGAACAGTTGTATGAAATATGCTTTATCTATCTAAAATCCACAATCATTGAAGTGTATCATTATATCAGATCCACCCAACTTCAGAGAAATGTTCAGTTTCTTCTTAATAAAAAGCTCCACATCAATCCAAAAATATTTTTGTATGTATGCAATTAAAAAATAAACGAAAAATAGTTTCCTTTTCACCTTTACAGAAATCACAAGAGTAACCAATATCTAATTTAAAGCGTTCCAGCACATGTTTTACTGGATATATTCTATGCATTCTTTTAACAAAGGCAAATATTTTAACCTCAGACTTTTTTCTTTCTTATTTTTTTTGTAGTGACGTATTAAATTACGTCACACTTCTGCGTCATGTTTAGTGATGCAATTAAAAATCAGCTGAAAGAAAACACTCGTCTGCTTACTACGCTGCCTTTATTTTCCCCTGTGTGAATAGCTCGACTTAACCATAATTAAAGCACTGTTTTCTTTTGACTGCTGCATTTCGAAATGCACTCCGCTTTCGCATTTAGAAAACGTGCCAAATCTGCTGCAATGATCATATGCGAAAGCGTCGTAGAGAGTAGAGACTGCCTGACGCAGCAGTGATGGACATGCCTCGTGAAGTCTCCGCGCTGGAAGAGCTGACGCTCGTCGGGAGAGCGGTGTGCGCATGCGCGGCGCTGACAGCCGCACTCTACCTGATCCGCAGAGTGTGTTTAACAATGGCCTGGAAATCCGGAGGAGCGAGCCATGCGGAGCTCGTCAACAACCTCCGCAGTGAGTTTTGCCCCTTTTGCATGATTAAAAGAGCAAAGTCAGTCATATTTACTGTAGCACTTGGCAACGGGGGTTTGTTTACGTCGCTGTAGTGAAGGAAAGAGCGCGTCTGTGAGCTAGCATCGCGTTACAGCTGAGGGGAAAGTGCGCTGATGGGTGCTGGGTGGCATGCCTCCGTCTCAGCGTTGTTCGTGTGTGTGTTATTATATCAGACAAGCACGTGGTGGCTGCTGTTTAAAACTTACAGTGCGCTTCAGTGCTCTTCATTCTTGTCAGCTAACGCTAGCCGCTAGCAGTCTAACATGTGATCGTCACTCTCAAACCACCTGCAAATTTAAACGATCGTTATAATATTTACATATGATCTTATTTCGGTTTGTATTGCTTTGACTGAACAAACGTATGGTTTTGCTCACGTCCGTGACACGGCAGCAACGGTGTTAGCATTTACGTACTGAATCTCGCATATACTCGTTCCTGCTGGTATTTACAGTTTGTATCCAATAAAGAATTAGGTACGTTTTTCCTAAGCGCCAGATTATTCATATTTGTTCAAATGTGTCGTTGTTTAATGGTCGTATGTGCAGTTCTATTTGGAGTTGTTCAGTGGGCGTGGCGCAACACATGCTGCTAATGTCATTGTGCGATGACGTCATTCCGGACTTTGTGCATCTGCAGTTTAGTGCTTTGAGCCTTGATATTATTATTAATGCTGCGTACTTAGCCACACAATGAAATCGATGTCTAATATTGGTTTTCCCTCAAATCAAACATCATCTTATTATTATTATTATTATTAAAAATATATACTTTTGGCTTACCTGGAGAATGTATATAATCCATTTATAAAATTATTATTATTATTATTTATTATTTTTTTTAATAGTCCAACAGTTGGCCATTGGACAGAGAGACTAATAATACTTGTCTGGCATGTAACCCATCCTCCTGAACTCTTGGCTTTATTCTGAGGTCAAGTGGCCAGTGTGCTATATTTAGTGGTGCTTGCTAAGACAAGTATCACTGTTACTGTTCCTGCTACTTGGGGTTAGTGATTTGAACAAACTCCTAACTTAAACTTGTAACTTGTCCTACCAATGGAGTTCGATGGTTTCTCTCACCATTGTGTGCTGGAACACTCTTGGTTGTATCATGCAGTTTGTGCTTATTCACTTTGGGCTACAGAAGTAATCAAGTATTTGTTTAGTCTGTTTGCATATAGACCCCTTTTTAGTGCCGACGTCACAATTATGTCACAGCATTAGCTGGAGGCAAAACAAAGGAGTAACTGGAGCGGCCAATACAAACCAGCACAGAGTTGGCTACGTAAGGAGCTTAAAATGTCATCTTGTTGTGTTATTGAGTGTCAGAATCGATGGAGTAGTACAGGCTCCAATTTGAAATTTTATCGCATACCAGCTGCCATTGCCAGACAAAAAAAACGACGACAGCTGTGGTTAAAGGCAATAAAACGGACAGACTGGACAGAAACGATCATCAAAAATGCTCGCGTTTGCAGCGCACACCTAATATCATTTGAGGTTAAATAAACTGTTGTCTTTTATGGATTAAGGTTTGGTTACGAGTCTAAAGAGTTCTCATTCATGCCCATCTAATCAGAAGTTAACTAACGACCAGAGACATTTACATTTAATCATTTAACTAAACATTTAGACTAAACATAAAGGAAATTGTTTGTGTCGTCTCGCTTTAAGTGCAATAGTAGAGCGAGGGAACAGTGAAAGCCATGTTATGTGTCAGGTGTGTGTTCAAGTAGTTAGTTAGTACATGGTTATAGGCATCTAAAGATTTATATGCCCTTAGTTTCTGTTTACCATGCAAACTCCGTTTCTGGCAGGTGTCTCAGGCCACTCCTCTGACAGATCGTCCATCCATTGAATGAGTGTGTACGAGTCGGCCAATCTGGTTCCTTCCGATAATGTTAACATTTTCAAATAACAAGCACCGTCCCGGACAGTGTGTGACATTACATATTCAGATAAAATCAAATTTTCTCCAGTCATTGTTAAAAAACAAGCAAACAAAACCTGCTAGCTAGCGTTAGTGAAGCAGTCAGGGGAATCTTCAGTAGCCCCTCACTGCAGAACAAGGATCCAGGGGGTGGGGTTGGATCCACATCTAGGGGTGGAGACGGGTAGGTTTAGGTATATGTAAGGTGGGAGGAGTTGGATCTGGATCTTGTGTTCTGCAGTGAGGACCATCTCGGAATCTTTCTGCCTCCACCTAAGCTCCGCCCCTAAAAAAAAGTCTCAGTAGCCAAGATTTATCCAAATATTAGCCCCGCCTGCAATAGATGTTCGCAATCGCCTGCTTCAACTACTCATATGTTCTGGGCGTGTCCAAAGTTGGAGGAGTTTTAGAGGGAGATTTTTGAATCATATAAACATATATATGATATCTTGATTGATCCTGATCCTATGATGGGTATTTTTGGTGTGGTGCCTGAGGGTATAGAACTCAGGAAAGACATTTGTTCTGTTATCGCCTTCACTACTCTATTGGCGAGGCGTTTAATATTATTTCAGTGGAAAAGGGCAGACCCTCCAACACATAGCAGCTGGATAAAAGAAGTAGTGTTTCACATTCAGTTGGAAAAGATGAAATATATGATTCGAGGTTCGAAACGTACGTTTCAAGACATTTGGTTCCCCTTCATAAGATATTTTGAACAACTTCCCTCCCTGTAAAATGGAATGATATGCCTGAACCTCCCCTTCTTTTCATATCCTCTTTTTATATTTTGTTTTATTATTATTATTATTATTTATTTCATGTATTTATTTATGCATGTGTATTTTCTATTTCTACTAAAATTAATAGGTTTAGCTCTTCTGTTATGTTTTCTGGACTAGTATTCTTACAGGGTGTACATATTTACTTATTTATTTTTGATGAGGGTGTGCCCCTTCTGTGAACATTTTTGTTTATTGCCATATTCATCATATTTATTAGCCATATGTTTCCTTGTTGTTGTCAGGCCTTTCATGTTAAATGATAATTTATGGACTGAACAAACATGGGACACTTAATTCCTTCACTGTCAGTTTTGTACTCTGGATTGTATGTTTTTTTTATGCCGTTAGAGGGGGGTGGGGTGATGAATGTAACTAAGTGTTAAAACTTAATAAAGAAAATATATATTTTTTAAAAGTCACAGTGTTTACTAACTGAAAAGGGGTCTATTCTCCAAGAGAATCTAGCAATCATAGATTTTGACTAATTACTAATTGGTAATATGCACTCCCATTGGACTTTTCCAAATAATTTGCGAGACACAACTACATTATCTCTGTGAAAGTTGGTTAGAAAATATACATTAAGGCTCAGACCTTCAGACTGTGAGTGATCATCTGTCTGAAAGTGTAAATGTGTAGTATTTGCTATGTTTCAATATGGACAAACTGCTATTATTAGTGTGCAAGTTTTGAATACCAGGATTGCTGACATGCCACAAGGTTTTGCTACTCCAGCATTTCCGGTACCATACCATAAGCTTACAGAATGATGTACTGTAAATGTCTAGATGAATGATCTCACATGTCTCTTGTTATTTATCCCAGCATACTTCATGGTAACATTAAATTATTAATTGGTCATTGCTTAGCTGCTTGCATTGTCATAACGTAATTTAGCATTGCATAATTGCTCATAGAAGGTTGGAGACTTGACAGGGGGAAAAAAAAAATATATATATATATATATA